TACTGTTTCTATTGTTTCCTGCCCAGGCCAGTCATTTTAGACTCCCTTCCAGAAGTGTCTCTGAAGGGGTGGGCCGGGCCCAAAGAGGAAAGATAGCAAATAGAATATTTTGGTACAATCCCCCCTCCTTTTGTATGCTCATGCTCTTATCACGGTTGACTTAGCCTTCCATCCTTCCGAGGTGGATAAAACGAGGATCCAGATTGTTGAGAGCAATATGCTGACTCTGTAAGCCCCTTAGAGAGGGCTGTAAAGCACTGTGAAGCAGTATATAAGTCAAAGGGCTATTGCTAAGTGCTGCTGCTTCTTCTTGAGCCATATCCATCATCGAACGTTGGAGATCATGTTGGCAATCCTATTTTATCAACAGCTGCACAAAAAAGTGCTGTTGAGTTTTGTCCAAACCAGTCCCTTAGATTTTGAAGCCATGATGTTCTTCTGACTGAACCTTGTTTGCCTCCAATCTTTCCTTGGAGGATTAAGTGAAGTATGGCATATTTTTCTGGGTATTGCTTCACATCTCCAAACTATTTTTTATGGTTTTGATGATTTCCCTTGAAAGAGCTTATCACCTCTTTTCTGATTTTGTCAACCTAACTTATATGTAACAGCCACCTGTAAATCCACATTTCAGATGCTTCTAGTTTCTTCAAGTGGCTTTCTGTCCATTCTGTAGAATGCTAATTGACTGATACAGGAAGATATATACTTGCCTTGGCTGGAAGGAGGCAATAATAAGTAACAATGCTCTTTGTTTCTGAATGATGAGGAAGCTATCACAAACTCCCTTGAGAGAACTTAAAGTTAGCTCGTTGATTTTTTTTTAAAAAAAACATCCAGTTACATAAGTTCAGTATTTCCTTGGTCGTCTTTGCTTTTCCTAAGGTATTTTGGTTTATGATACTGCAGATAATAGAAGTAGCAGAGCCACCCGGTCTGAGCTCTTAAAAACAGAGATAACAGTTCTGCTGATCACACCAAAGGCCCATATAATCTACAATTTATTTTCCACAAAGTGCTGATCTGATTTCCCTGAAAAGGGTAAAAACAGGAATCTTATCTTTGATATAGTCTCATTCATCATGAATTTATCTGCTCTCTTTTTGAAACTGTTCAGGCTGGTGACTGTTACTTCATATGAAGGCAGTAAATACCACTGTGGTAACTGCATTTAGAAAATGAAATGTAACCTTTGTCCTCCCTCAGCTTCATTAGGTGGATCTAGGGCTGAGTTATATAAAAATGAGGGGAAAACCTGGCTTTATCCACTTTGCTTTCAACAAACACAATTCTCAGGTGTCTCTTTGTTTACTAAACTAGAAAGATGCAAATACCATAACCTTTTGACACAGAGGCATTCAAGCTCCATAATATTTTTAAGCAAGCTTTTCTGAACTTTTCCCAGAATTAGAGTACTGTATACTCTGGGATCTGGCAATCACAGGCATTAACGGCATACCAATGGTGGTTGCATTATAAACTTTTATATAGGCAATTCACAAGAGACATTTTTTTTAGAAGTCTGTTTTATGAATTTTTTCAAAAATGCCATATAAATACTGTAAATCAAAGTTTTTCCAGTACTAAAGTGTTCTACCTGCCATTTTAATGTTTACTCACTTAAATTGGAGTGCTTCCTTATGCTTTTTTATTATCTGAAATAAGCTGGTGTTACCAGCAAATTTTGTCACCTCATTGCTGACTCCCCAAACTGGGGAGGCATATATTCTGTGTCAGGCTAAAACAGCAACAACAAAAAGCAGAACCATACTGCTTTTTCTCCGAATTGTAACTGTAACTAAACTCTTTGCCACTTGAGCTACCAAGGAAAAAATATTATATTAGTAATACCACAGAAAATAACACATTTTTAAACAAACTGCTTGGAGAAGAAACATGGAAAAGATGGTGGTAACCCTGCTCTAAACCATAAGTACATGGTCTCTGAGTAACTGCTCCACAACAAAAAATGAAATAATCCCCAACTCTTCAGTAGCATCTGAAGTGCTGATGTATGGAAACTGATAAACCCACTATGTGGAACTCTGAAATAAAGTCAATTCCAAATCTGCAAAAGTAAATACAAGAGATATTGGTATAGCCATTTGTTTGGACCTCTTTACTTCATCAAACTAGATGTTGTGTCTTTAAATTCCCAAGTATTTATATGAGGGAGGGAAGCTGCAATTACAATTAATTATCCTCCTTAGCTTTTTCCAACTGCAAAGCATCATTTCTTAAACATACAGCATGGATTTCATTTTCCTCTATATAGACTCCTTTCCTTGCTTTTCTCACATTTATGCTTGAAATATTTCACAATAACTCATAATATTCTTGTCAAGTCAGCTTGGGAAAATTATACTAATGGAATCATACTTTGCAAAATTCCATATGCAATGATTATTATAATTTGTGATATCTTTTTTTTTTTAATTTGATTTATATGCCGCCCTTCTCCGGAGACTCAGGGCGGCTTACAATGCGTTAAGCAATAGCCTTCATTCTTTTGTATATTTATACAAAGTCAGCTTATTGCCCCCACAACTGGGTCCTCAATTTACCTACCTTAGAAAGGATGGAAGGCTGAGTCAACCTTGAGCCTTGGCGAGATTTGAACCTGCAGTAATTGCAGGCATCTGGTCTTAATAACCAGCTTAATAACAGGGTGCCTTAGACCACTGTACTACCAAGGCTCTGTTATCTGTTGACATTTACCACATATATTCATTGTCTCTCTCACACACAAATACTTGCATGCATACACATAACCCCAGCATTTTAGATAGTTTGATAAAATGAGTTGGATAGCTCATTTTGATAACATTTCTTAGTTGGAGAAAAGGAACTATCAGATTCCATCTGATTTTTAACGACTCCAACAATTTTCCTGGTAATTCTTGATCCTGATTATGGAAAGATTTGATTTTTCTGGGTGTTTCATTTGTGCACTAGTGCATAGGAATGAGGCAAAGGTATATAATAAAGCCTGAATCAAAATCTATTCTGCTTCATGATCCAAATATTTGTCAGTGGGAATCCAAACCAGAATCAACCCTGCTGCTAATCAGAATGAGGAAATACCCTTAGATAGCGACTCTCTGTTGTATTGTTTGAATGTATGATTCTATGCTGATGTGATGTAAGTGCCATGAAGCTTGTTTTACAATCCCTAAAGTGACCAACTGTCCTCCTGAGAAAGGATTTCAGCACTACCTTGAAATAGGAGTCAACTCATGAGTGAATTTCCTTTCTGAGGAGAGACAGTGCCAACAGAATGACTTGATTCAGATTCAGAATGATTGCATGGCTACCTATTAAGTCTTCAGGTCAGAACATACATTTGGCAAGTTATAGGAGAATGAGAATTAGTTTGTAACAGTCTGTGAAGGTCAACATTTAGCCCTTTAGAAAATGGATGTGATTTCTACATTTGCTTTTGTGTTGTTTTTAAAAGCGGGGGAGTTGTATCTTAAGCGTAATAAAAGCCAGGACTAGCCAGACTCTTAAAAATGCCAAGTTGAAAAACAATGATGATTAGGGGACTTGAGGCTAAACTGTTCAAAGAACAGTATCAAGAACTGGGCTGTCTAATCTAATGAAGAAAAGGAATAGAGATGTTATCAGTCTTCCAATATTTGACGGGCTGTCACAGAAAAGAGGAAGTCAACCTATTCTCCAAAGCACCTGAGGGCAGGACAAGAAGTAATGGGTGGAAATTTATCAAGGAGAGATCCATCCCAGAACTAAGACCTTTCCTGACAGTGAGAAAAATTAATCAGCTTGCCTCCAGGAGTTGTGGGTTCTCCATCACTGAAGCTTTTAAGAAGAGATTGGACAGTCAGTTGTCCAGAATGGTATAGGGTCACTTGCTTGAGCAGGGGGTTGAACTAGCAGGGGGTTGAACTCTAAGGTCTCTTCCAACTCTGTTATTCTATATTCTGAACTGTGAAGAAATGAATTATTTCCTCGTGCTAGGCCAGTCTTTTTGTGCTCATTTCTGTTTCTGTTTCTGAAATTGTCCCCAAACACTATAAAATGCTGTAATATTTTTTTTTCTTCTATTTCCATTTGGTTAATGCTAATTCTTTTTAAGTGCCTTGACAAAATCGTCTACCTTTAACCTACTGGTAGCTGTTAAACTGAGCCTGAAATGAAAAGAATGCAGGCCTGGAATTCACCCCCTCCAGTCCACTTTCAGATTCAGATGAAATTAACAAGGTCATTGTGCAATTTGCCCCCCTGCAGAGAATTCCCCACATGTTTCCAAATCCATTAAGAAAACCTGGGAGTACTTAAAACCATTTTGGGAAAACAAGACGATTGGTCAGTGCAAAGTCCTAAGAATCTCAAGGTAGGAAGAGCACAGAAATGCTGTTCCCTGCCAAATCAGCAGACATCATCTGACAGAAGGGAAGTGAACTTCAAAGTTGTTCTCAAAGTGAGTTTTCCACCAGAGTGATCTTTTCACCAACTTATGTCCTTTGCCGCTCAATGACAACACTTCTTGTTGACTGGGGATAATTATAAAGAGAATAGAAAATGGCCTTGAAGGACAGTGGGAAGAACTGTTTCTGAGGGAATGATTAGACATACAGCTTGAGTCCATACCAAGAAACAAACATCAGAAAACACCTCATTTTCCTAATTTGCACAAAGATAAAATATGGGAGGAGGGAAATTCAAACTTCTACAGGTGTATTAATAGTTTTAGACCAGTATGGCCCTTGTTTCCGAGTCTGGTCAACCTTATAGTGCTGACAATGACATTAGTTGTAATTGAGCCTATCTGAATGATCTAAATTTGAGAAAATTATTTCCTGCAGCCCATGCTGAGAGGTTTTTTTACAAGTAACCATACTGATAAAATAGAAATCGGATTGCTTTGCAGACTCTTTGCATCATCCTCCAACTCAAAAAGATTTAGGTAATGGTAGTTCATGAAAAAGAATATTGTGTACATTGGAGAAGAATAGATATGATTCTAGAATGTCAGCTTCATTCTTCCTTAGTGGTTCAAGGTTGGAGAAACTGAAAAGGGCCCACAATGCTGATCCAGGTATTTTACAAAGGAATTAAATTCTCCTAATAATCTGCAAGAATCCCCCTCCCAATCCAGAGTTTCTATTTTGCAAAGTAGACCGAACACACACACACACTGGCATTTCTGCTCCCAGATCTTGTATATCTACTACTTTCATCTGGGACAGGAATGTTAATAGGATGGAGTCCTGGCCTCGGTAGAGTATCAGTGACAAAGGGAGAAAATGTGTTTGCACTGTGTGCACCAAGGATTAGTGGGGTGTCCTTTCAAAGCAAGAATATTTTCTGATCTTCCCCATGTACCTTTGAACTTTCCCAACAGCTGAGATCCTACCACCACCTTCCCGTTTACTCTTGCTTTATCCCCTAGGTGATATTGCACAAGGATTTCTTGTTGCAAGAAGTGAGAAAAGCTTGAGACAGGAAAATAGGCCAGCATCTCCTATTGCACCAGCATAATCTCAAAATGTGCTTAGTGGTGAACTCCCCAGTAAAGCTCCAAAGTTTTCTTCTTTCCATTTAACTTTATCACCCAAATTTCTTTCCTTCCTTCCTTTCATCTATGGAATAAATGGGGATCCATTGGAGGCATTCTGGTTGAGGAAAGTGAATGTATGGGAATCTTCCTGGATTACTCTTTCCTCTGTAGTTCCTTGAGTTTCCTCTCATACCACTACAGAGGGTACCATTCTTTAAGTAGATGTACAATGCTGAAGGTAGGAAGATACCTTCATTACATCCTTGGCATCCTTTAACTCAAAGTTTGTAGACACCAAGTCTCTCTCTTGATTTCCTGCCCAATAAAAAGTGAGGTACATTTTTGCTCTCAGCATTTAGCATTTAGGTCATGATGTTAATTTATCTGGAGAAAGGATAAGGATGGAAACAAAGTAAGGAAAACAGGTTCATTAAAATGGGCAAAGGGATGCTTAATGAAGTACATGTTCCTTTTAATATATTTTAAATTATATACAGTATGTTCCTTTTTAATAGCTCTGTTACTTTTTAAGAACTCTGTCCCTTTGGTGAACAGAAATGGTGTTTTGTTCAGGATCTGATGCAGTCTGGAGTTCAATGTAAGAATATATCTGCATCTTCTCCTCTATGAGCTTATATATACAGTAATGTGTGTGCAAATCTCAAAGAATCCTAATAAAATTAGATGATAGCAGAAGTGTATTTATACATTCCTTTTTAAGGATACCCTGCATATATAAGGTTCTGTGCATTACCAATAACGTCAGGAAAATAACAACTAATAATATTGCTGGCTGAGTTTTCATCAGTTTTCCTTAAATTTATTCCCTCCAGATGTGATGAATTCCAACTTCCATCCTATATATGATGTAGGGTTGTTACCATTATTGTCCCAAAGAAAAGACTGTATTTATAAGATGAAAAAGATGCCAAGAACAGTCACATAAAAATTATGCAATTAATACAGGTACTCAGAGTCTTCAGTGAATTGCTTAGAAGCCAGAAAAGTAGATGTGAGAAAGTTAGTTAATAAAATAGTGCCAATGATGTTCAGAGTATGCATACCAGACGATTATGGGTACAAATAAAAACAAAATAAAAGACTCTCCATGCTTACGTTGTACAACAGCAATTACAAAACACAGCCATGTAGCAAGACTGGTTCAGGAAGACTGAGAGGAAATGACAAAGCAGAGACGATTTCTAGACTTGCCTTTTTCTTGACCTCAGTACACTGTTTCAGAGCCAGGTAAGATTTCAATCCTAATGTTATTGATAACCTTTTAACCTTACCTTTCCTCCAAGAAGCTTAGAGGAAACCCATTTCATCTTCTCAGCAACCCTATAAATGTATTTCAATATACTTTAAGTAGTCAAGGGCTCTCTGTAAGCTACATGCACAACCAAAACCAGTCTCCACAAAACATAGCTTTTAGCTTTACAAAACTACTCTGGCTCTCTATAATCAAAAACTGATACAGTGATGCATAGCTACAAAGATGATCTTATAAGCCTCAACTCTGCAGGCTTTCCAGAAAGTCTTAAAAACATGGCTGTCTTTCTGGGCATGAGAATTGAGAAGTGAAGGGGGCAGATGTTATTACAGAGCTGGTGTTGCCCTTGGCAGTCATTCTCTGTGTATTATTATAGTTCCTGATGATTGTTGGTGGTTTGCTGTTTATATTGATTCTTTAAAAATATGTTAGCCTCTCAGAATTTTTATTGCAAGATAGGCAGCCATATAAATTGACTAAATCATTACTTAAATAAAAGCTTGATCAGCAAAAGGATTCTCTTGATGTGTATTCAATGTCATATAAGATTTTTGTGCCACGAAACAAAGGTTAAAAACATTGAAGAATGGGGTCTGACAGTAATATCGTTATTTAGAAGTAGGTTTTGATTTTGGGTTTCATGCAATTAAATTTGGCCAGTGGATGCAACTCTGCTGTCTGGCAATTTTAAATAACTCACCTATTAGCATATTTTAACTATAAACTCCCCTTCTCTCTTGTGCATATTAGGTAAAAACTGAAAAATCTCAGGCCAGCCCATTAACCTTGCTTTATCTGGGTTCACAGACCAATTTTGTGTCACAGCGAAGGTGTTTCCTGGTCAGCCTTAGGTGATTTCCAATGAACTGGTGCTGACCTCTATGCTAGGTCTATAGCCTAAGGAGTGTGGCTGATCTAGCAGCTGGAAACAAAGGACTGTGGTTTCTTCTTATTTTCTGAAGGAAGGAACAGAGGGAAGGGAGGAATGTTGTGGCTAAGGCCTTGCTGCTCCATTCTACTCACTCCTAGAAAATCTTACATTGCATTGTTGGTTGACTGCTAAAACACCATGACATGACTGTGAAACCAAAGGGAATTTACCACCCCCCCCTTCTAATACAAGTTGTTTGTGGCTGGCTCAGAAATGGGTAATAAAATACAAGCCAGGCCACAATTCTCTGGAGTTGCTGGGTAGAGAGGCCTTTCTTAGGAGCTGCCTTTGTCTATCATGAAATACTTCTCCCTGGTTTTTTAGATGTAAGCAAGCAATGATACAGCCAAGTTCTCTTTCTAATTATACACCCTAGGCCACTAGCGTAATTCTAGAGTCATTCTTCAGATGGATTACACAAACACGACCTTCATTTGTGGTTTGGAAATTTAGTGCAAGGCTTATTTTTTGGAGAAGTAGTAACCTGAAAAGGAAGTTCACCAAGGCAATGAGAACTCTGTTCTAACGTCATACTTGAGTTTTGTGCAAACAACAGAGGTAGCATTGATCTCACAGTTGTCCCCTAAATCAATAGCTGGTGGCTAAGGTTGCCTAGTCAACAGCACCCTGTCCCCAGAACTTCGCTATAGGACTGGTGGTTACAGGTTGCCAATTCTTAAAATAAAAAAACAACTATATATCAAGGCACAAACCCATATTAAAATACCATATGTGTATCATTTACTAAATCATCCACCCCAACCTTTTGAAGATTGTAATATAAAATTCAGTACCTATGATTACTGCTCAACATTCACAACATGCATACTTACACATTCTTGCAAGAGTTTACCCCACACCATTTTTAAATTTCATAACTCCTGCCACCCAGAAGCCACTCTATTAAAAAAAAATTGGCAAAGGCCACCATTGGGTTTGCCAAGAAAACACTTTCATCAAATTTTGTGTCTCTGCCAACGCTAAGTCTTTTCAGAAGTTATTCAATATCAGAAGGGACAAATATAAGTTTGTCAATTTGATTTACAAACTACTGTCTTGTCTCTGTGAGGAAGTATTTACTTTTACCTATTATGGAAAGTAATGCAATATTTTAAAAAAATTCTTTTGGGTACAAATCAGAGTTGATTCTAAACTGACTTTAAGAAAGAAATTAATCTTATTTTTTGTGTCATTGCCCCCTCATAAATGAATGGTACATGCTCCTGTCTGAAGGGACACAGTGGCTCAGTGGCTAAGACGCTGAGCTTATCGATTGAAAGGTTGGCAGTTCAGTGATTTGAATCCCTGGTGCCACATAATGGAGTGAGCTCCTGTTACTTGTTCCAGCTTCTGCCAACCTAGCCGTTCAAAAGCACGTAAAAAATGCAAGTAGAAAAACAGGGACCACCTTTGATGGGAAGATAACAGCATTCCATGCGCCTTTGGCATTTAGTCATGCCGGCCACATGACCATGGAGACATCTTCAGACAGCGCTGGCTCTTCGGCTTTGAAACGGAGATGAGCACCAAAAGACTAGCACATATGCGCGAAGGGAACCTTTACCTTTACATGCTCCTGTAGTTCAAAGAGGCATTTGTTAGTTACATCCTTAGCCTTCTCAACAGAACAAACTCTGAAATGTCAGAGATAAGTGACTGGTCCAAAACCACTCACTGAGTTTTCATGGTTATAAATGGGCTTAAATCTTGTCTTTCTGGCTCAGTAATATAATCACAGTACAACATAGGTCATCACTGGGTTTTAATATTTATCCCATTCTAAAGTCCAAATATCCTTTTCTCCAATGTATTTATTTTTATGCATAAAATGATATCATCACTACAGTACTGGTCCCTTATCATAATTGTTTCCTTATGCTTGTTTCCAATTCATATAGTCATTCATTTCTTCTAAATAATCCAAAAAGTGCTGTGTCCCTTGACTTCCCACAATATGTTCTTACTAAAACCACAAGACAATGAAAAGTACATGTGTGCCCAGAACAACTGCCTGGTCAACACAAACAGATTTCTTTCCAATAGCACAATAGCAGCTTTCCCAGAAAAAACTGAATTTTTAAAAAATCTTGTTTCAATCATGTACCAGTAAAAGAAAATAAATAAAAGAAAATAAATCAGCCATTCAAGGACAAATATAATTTGTAAGATAACAGCTATCATGAATAATTCCCTTTTTATGATCTGTAATCCCTTAATTTGGGGTAGAGTCTGGGTGACTGGATGGAGCTGAGCGTTTACTGGCCGGATGCTTTTCCTGATGCCTACACGGAGTTCACAGCAGATATTTTTTCTTTGTGCCCTAGGAGAGGAACATCTGCTGCTACCTAGCATTGAACTCTCAACTTTCTGAGTGGGAGGCAAGCGTCTTTATCACTAGGCTACCACATCTCTTGACAACCACCATGAATGATCCTCTACATTTCGTTCTGAAGTCTTATCCATTGGCAAATCTATAACATATCCAGTACATTTGCTTGAAGCAAATGTTGGAATTCCTAATTTCCCCTATTTTATTTTATTTTTAGTTACTAGCTTATTCTATCAGTTTCTCTAGAATTTCCTATCAAAGTACAGTAAGATATGACCCATACATACAAAAAATATTAGAGCGGGACGAGCAAAATCGCTGCATATATCATTGCAATGTCACACAAATGCGTATTATTCAAAGACCCAAATAGTATGCCCAAGGATGAAGCAGGCTTCCTTTCCCACTCAATGCCATTAAACTGCAAAGGGAACATTTCAAATTATATGTAAATCCAAGATGACTTTCATAAGCAATTCATGAAATGATCCAGAAATCTGCTGCTTAAAGTTTTTCTTAAATCCAAAATATATGCCATAAATGCACCTAAAATCATTTTTGGGATCTTGATCATAATCTTTGACACATATTCAATGAATCTATTGTCATTTACATTTCTCTGAAAAGATAGATTGAACTTTTTAAGACAGTGGGAGCAAACCATTCACCATTCACATTCCTGTCTCTCTCTCAACACCTGAAGGGGTAAAAGAGGAAGGTGAAGAAGAGGAGGAGGAAGAAGAGGAAGATTGCTAGCATTAGCGATGGTGATCAAACTACCACACATGGTTTTCTATCTTGTCTTCCATTTGCTATCTTCAAATGGATTAATTCCAACTTTTTTTCCTAGGCAAAATGGCAAAAGGAATGAAGTACCGTGTTTCCCCAAAAATAAGACCAGGTTTTAGGCTTGAAAATAAGCACTTGGGCTTATTTTCGGGGAGGTCTTATATTTTTTGAGGTGCAGGAGGCAATGAGCATAGTCACCTCATGGCTGCTGGGCCCCTTAACCGCAGCCTGTGGATCAGCTGATCCAGTGAGGACCAGGAGTTCTGTCTCTCTGGGGGCCTGGAGATGTTTCCAGTGCACTCTTGCATTTGATTGCTTGAAAGGGACAGGCTGGCCTTTGCTTCTATCATAAGCACACACTTCCTACCATCTTCCACAATTGCCTGCCCTTTTCTCAAGCAGCAGCAGCCAGATAGGGGGTGAAATCTACTTACCTTCCCTACTGGTTCGGAAGTGCACACACCCACCCGCTTCACTAGGACTTGTTTTCGGGGTAGGTCATATTTTCAGGGAAACATGGTAATAACCTATTTCTCTGCAGATCATATAGCGAACACATGGTAAAAATCTTGAAGAGAATTTAAACAGGAATCAATGAGACTAATTATGCTTAAAGTGGCATCATGTAACCAGGACCTTAATTGTATAGGGGACTCTGATATTTTGTTAGCAAGACTTGGAATGCGTAGAAAATTGTAACAGCCCTTCCTGTGAGTTGATTCTTGAGTTCTTAGAATACAAATTCAGCATTTCTGTAAAGCTGTCCAAAGTAGCTTAGACTCAGTGAACTCAGTAAGGATATGTGGACAGAAGAATTCAGCTTAACTGTTTTGAAATCCAGTTTTGTTTTCTTTAATAATGAAACTGTTGGCTTGAATCAAGAGATGAAAGCCTAGTCCCATCTAATGCCAACACATTTGAATAAA